GAGGTGGAGAGAAGCTTGTGGGGGGGAGAGACAGGCGTGTGAAAAGCCGGTGGTGGCAGTTGAGGCTCTGAGGGGTTTTTCCTGAGATGCTGTTTGTTTGGCGTGTTTGGTTCTAAAAATAAAGTTAGTTTCTTTTGACAAGTGGCTCCTGATTGTGCCCAGCCAGACTGCGGCAAGTTACTACTGTTACTTTGAAGAAGTGCTGAGCATACATGATAAATTGAAATATTTGTATCAATTCTAATGTGACTTAAGGATAACATTGGTAACAAAATCATAGCTACCAGGAAGACTAATGGGGTTTATTGTCTGCATACATAATTAAAGAAATGGCTAAATTTCAGTTAGGAATTAATGAAAGTAAAGATACCATTTTCCCCATCTATGTTCTCTCCACATAAACCAGGTTAAGAGTGGTGCACTCCTGCAATCCTGGCTATATGGGAGACTGAGGCAGGAGGATCCACAAGTTTCAAGCTAGCGTGAGCAATTTAGCACGACGCTGTCTCAAAATTAAATAAAAAGGTCTGGGGATTTAGCTCAGTAGTACTATGCTTGCCTAGCCCACATTAGGCCCTCAGTTCAATCCCCAGTACTGTACAACAAAACAAAACAAAAAAATTACTTTAATCAAGTCCAAAACTATCCTGATTAACAGATTAGCAAAGTGAAGCCTAATTATTTGGACCTTGTGAATTGTCTCATTACACAGCAAACTAGTAGCAAACTGAAGTCTGAGAACAATATATATTCCCTTATTCCAAAGCTTCCTGTTTTCTGGAATCTCAAGGTTTTAGGCTTAGATGGAACATATAAATGACAGAGCCAAGTTATTTTGGAACAAATGTAAAATTTGGACTTATCCTATTTGATTTTCTCTTTAAAATAGAGCCTTACTTGCTAACAGAAATCAAAGTCAAGTTTTCCCCAAGATCCAGTGAGATATGTCTAAACTAACAGGTAATTGATTATAGGTAAGGCTGTTAAGAAAGCTGCTCTGGTCTACATTCAGAGCTCTTTTCTGGATACATGTGATCCTTTCATGCTTCAATAAGACCCTGATGTCTATGAGCCAAAATTCTGGACATAATATTTCAGAAATACTTTGCCTGTGAACACTTTAAAATTGCATCGGTGACAGAGGAGATTATAATTAAAGCATTTACTCCTGTCATTACAAAACCAAACTAGAAAGCATCCAATAAAGTTCTCCAAAGGTAAAACTATGGGTTTGGCTACTCCTCAAAACCTTCAGCTCAGTTTTTTGCATACTTTGATGTCCCATCCAAACAGTTTGATGTACTTATAACATTTGATTTATGTGCAAGAAAGCTTGATTATAAGAAAAATGTCCTAGGGTATTTCTTTCTTCATTAATTCTGACTCTATCTTAGGCTAACTCTTCTAGACAGACAGTGAATAAATGTGTTCTGAATGCCTTTTCTGTGTCAACAACCATTCCCAGCTACATTAACTATATTTCCTTATGTTCTGTCTTTTTCTTCTTTTTGTAGTGTGTGCTTTAGACCAGTCATTTAGTCCTTTACATATGTACTAACCCATTTAGTCCTCCCGTTTAATAAAGAATCCATTTAATAAAGAACCCATTTAATAAAGAAATTGAGGTACAAAAAAGATAAATAATTCCAGTTATTTAGGGTAATGAGGGTCATACACTAGTTAGTAAGTGGTGAGACCATGATCAGGCTAATGTTAGAACTTGAGTTCATCTTGTTGACCACTAAGCTGTGATCCCTCTAACTAAAAAGCTTCTTCACAGCAAAGGACACAATCAAGAGTGTGAAGAGAGGGCCTGCAGAATGGGAGAAAATCTTGGCCACCTGCACCTCAGATAGAGCATAAATTTCCATGATACAAAACGAACTTATTTTCTGTATTCTTGATCTCTGGCATTAGTGCCTTGTGAAAGGCACCCCTCTCGGGGTTAACTTTCCCTAGAAATAAACATTTGCCTGCCTATAGGTCTTTCATGGGCCTCCAGAGACAAAGGTATATTCTTCCCATTAACATGGGTTTGCCTTTGTTCTTTTAAAACACTGATCCTTTCATCATTTTGTTAAGAAGCCTTTGACCACTTGCTGGGTGTGGCTTGAATTACAGTGTCAGCAGGGAGTAACTTAATCTTGGTCATCTGGGACAACTTTCTGATCCTCAAACTTCTTGTCTAGTAGAAGGTAAAAAGGAAATGTGACCTCATCTTATTCCTCCTGCTTTTGCTTTTCTCTTGCCTTATCTATCCCTCCATCCATGATACGTTCTAAGAAGGCAGGGACAACTGGGGTGGGGCTAGTATTAGACCAGAGTATTTTCCCACTTGTACCTGTCAGGGTGCTGCAGGAAGCATCTGGTTTGCACAAATGATTTTATTGAAGAGAGTTTATTAAATGGAATGTTTTCAGAGGTTCAAATAGACTTAAGGGAATCCATCAAGAATGGTGAGGACAAGCAACTGCAGCAACCCTAGGCCTGAAAAAGCAAGTGTGTATATGTTGGTGGGGGGGAGGTTGCTGGACCCTCTGAGAGTCATAACCGTGAGAGAGAGGACACTAGAAAGTCGCATGGCACAAAAGAACATAATCACAGCAAAAACCCTGATCTGACAAGCGGGCACAGTGGGATAAGAAGGCTGGCCTGTCTTCTTTCCTGCCCCCTAATCTCTGGTAAGAATCACCCATCAGTCAAACCCAATAGGAAGTGAGAGGGCAAAGAAGTACTGTAGATGTCAGCCTCCCAGGGTGCAGGCAAGGCAAAGGGTGAAGAATTAAGGGGCAAAGAGTAATACATTGTCAACATTTGGAAGTTTAAAAAATGGTTCACATTTTATATAAAACAAACCACTTGGTACAACTTACTACTACTTTGCTTTTAGAATAATGAATTCTTCACATGCCAGAAGAAATGTAACAGTACCACCTGGAAGTTCAATAGCTCGATGGCATCTGGTACCTCATCTTGCCATGCATGGGGTTCAGATCCTGCTCCCCCTCAACATATCTCCTTACTGTATTGTTCATTTCTGCCAGGAGTAATAAAAATCTGTGTCAACATTACATGTTCTTAGGATCACAAATTTTTAGGAAGTCCATCTTGTTCAATACTCCCCACCATATACATCAGGAATCACTTAACATTGCTGACACATTATTTGGTCTGATTGAGTACTTTGATAACAAACTGCTTACTGTCTCTTGAGAGAAACTTCTACTATTGAACAACTCTGTTTTAAAAAGTTGTTAATACTAATTCACAACAATATTTATTGGAAGTTACTTTTTTTTTTTTGGTACTGGGGATTGAACTAAGGGGCACTTAACCACTGAGCCACATCCCTAGCCCTATTTTATATTTTCTTTAGAGATAGGGTCTCACTGAGTTGCTTAGCGCCTCACTTTTGCTCAGGCTGGCTTTGAACTTGTGATCCTCCTGCCTCAAACTCTCGAGCAGCCGGGATCACAGACATGCACCACCATGCCTGGAGAAGAATTATTCTTTTAAATAACTGTTTTTTTTTTAATCAAAGATGAGGCAACTTTAAATTTTAAAGTGGAAATTCTCTGTCTAACTTATACCTCCAGGACAGTCCTATACCATAGTTTATCATTTGGACATGTCTTCTTCTCTTGAGGTGTTTTTTTAGGGGGTATGGAATCCTGGAGATTCTCATTTGCTACTACTATGAAGGAAAATAAACTCAAGAGTTGATTGAGGTGATGAATTGGGGCACAAAGGGGGACAAGGATTAGATACTTTTAGGGAAAAAATGACTGTTGTAGAATTACAAGCTAGAGGTAGCAGAGGAATTATAAACAGTAAATATAAACAGTGTAATATTAAACAGGAATGTTTGTAGCACTGAGGAACAAAAACTGTCTGAAACAACAGAACTGATTCAGTGATAGTTTCCATCCATTCCCACTCTCACCCTCCTGCACTTTGCTTGGGTCCTGGGAAGATGTATGAGCTATATGGAGGCCCTCTGGCTTCTGGTTAGGTTCTTATTAGCCACTGGGGGATGTTTGAAATATATAATCCCTTTCACATTCTTCCTTCTTGGGGGTTCCTGTAAGTTGGCTGAATCTGTCCACTCAAGGCCTATGTCTGATTGCCCTCTCCATAGTTTTCTCTCTAGATTCTAGTAGATATCTTTGCTTTAAGCTTGGGGCACTGCATAATCCTTGTGGTTTCCTACACCATACCCACAGATGTAAATAATCCTGTTCCTTATTAAATTGCCCAACTGGAATGTGCCATCTGTTTCCTGATAGGACCCTGATTGACACACTAAGTCCCATTAATCGCCCAACACATGTTTATTGAGTAACTACTACATTCTAAGGAAGAATACAATGGTGATATTGGACAATTAATGCCTATAAGGGAAGTCTGGAAAGAGAAGACAACCACAAAAACAGATTATTATATTACATGTTGATAAATGATGCCCAGCATTGGATGGGGAGGTGGGTAGGGTGTAAGATAGTCAGTCATAGGGAGCCTCATGGGTTCTTGGTGGAGATAGGCTCAGGCAAATTGAGAGGCAAGAAGGTAAATAAGGAGTGATCAGGAACCTCAAGAGACATTGACAGCCAAGGACATCAGAGCCAGTCAGGGTTAGGCTGGCCTGATCAAAGAAAGACTTTACTATGGGGAGGGGTCCTTTTCTTCCATTTTCTTATTCTCCCCACCAAGGGGAACTAAATGATACATGAAATTGGCAGCCTCTCACTCTTAGCCTTTTAATCTTGTCCCACTACCAGGATTTGACATTCCTACATTCTTGGCCTAAAACCCGTCTTTGGAAAATTACCTCCATACACATTCTGCACAGTTTAAGGTCATTAAGATTCCAACAAGACACTATAGTAAAATAACCTTGAAGATAAGTTACAGAGGAGGGTTAGAAGTGAACATTCCCCAAAACATTCTAGAAACCCTGGCAGTCAGACCCTTTTTCTCTGACAGCAACATGTAATACTGACATGTTCTTGCCCTATGAAGAAGGGGGAAGGTAATTTTAGAAACAGCAGAGAGTAAGCTTCAGGGCATCAAAGTGATTCCACTAACAGGCTTTTGGTTCATATCGGTTTTGCAGGTCCCGGTTCAGGAAATAGAACCCAGGACCTTGTGCATGCTAAGCAAGTGCTCTAACCTTGGTGGGCACTTTTAAAATCCATTTTATCACACACCACAGGAAAGTTCAGGGTCCAGGAGGTGCCTGTTTTCCCCTCTTAAAAACAATCGGTTATTTTTTGGTTGATATTTTGTTTTGTCCTTGTTTGGTTTGGTTTTGGTACCGAGGATTGAACCCAGGGACGTTTAGCCACTGAGCCACATCCCCCTGCTCTTTTTATTTTTATTTTTTAAATTTGGAGACAGGGTCTCTTGCTACGTTGCTTAGGGCCTCGCTAAACTTCTGAGGCTGACCTCGAACTTGCGAACCTCCCGCTGGGATTATAGGCGTGCACCACACACTACAAGTGGTTTGGCTGCTAGCCCACCACTGCCCAAACTATCCAAGATTCCTTCTTGACCTTTCCTTGGCATCAGAATTGGGACTCAAGAGACTTCATTTAAAAAGCACACGCATAACCGTATCGAACAGATCCCTCTCTTCTGATAACCCAAAGCCTGCGCCACGGCCTTCCCACAAATAAGAGACGCGGGAAGAGTTAAAAAGATATTTGGTGAGCCTGAATTCCTCTGAGCGCGCTCTCTGCACAAGTAACTGCATCAGTTACTCCAGCCCTCTGCGAACTCCGATGCTGGGCCAGTGGGCCGCCACTGAGCTGGGAGAGCTCTCGACGGCCGCGTGATCCCGGGGGTGGGGCCGGTTTCGGATCCAGTGCCAGCTGCCCACCCCCAGGAGGCCCCACAGCCCTGACAACCTCCGAGAAAGTCCCTCCCCGTAGGCGGAGACATCGCCAAGAAATCCCGACCCCGGGGCCTGAGGGGGCTAGTACCCAGAGGCTGCCCGGCGCGGACCGTGAAGTTGTGACAGCCATGGAGAGCTACAGAGGCTTCTTGGCGCTGCTGATGTCGGCGCTACCGGTCGGCTTCCTGTCGGTGCTTTTCACCCTCATCTGGGTCCTCCACTACCGAGAGGGGCTCGGCTGGGACGGGAGCTCGCTCGAGTTCAACTGGCACCCGGTGCTCGCGGTGACAGGCTTTATCTTCATCCAGGGCATCGGTACTGGGCACCTCCTGGGGGGCGGTGGAGCGTGGCTGGCGAGAAGGAAGAGGGCGGGCTCCGGCGGGGCGCGGGCGGGGCCCGGCAAAGCGGCGATCGCGGCGCTGCAGCGGCGGCACCCGGGCGGGAGTGCGCAGTGAGGACGCGTTGCGGGGGGGCGGCGGCGAGGAGCGCAGCTGGCCTGAGTCGGCCAACTCGGTGCAGTGGGTCTGGGTCGCACCGGGACGTCCCCGCGTCTGCAGGAACAAGAGTGGAGATATGCCCCAGCACCGCGCTTCCCTGCCACTTGCCCCTAAAAGACGCCTCTGTGGGCGGAGCCTGCGCAGTCAGGGGCGCGGAAACCCTCTAGCCAGAGACCTTTTGCTGAACTTGTTAGAAGGCTGCAGAGTGAGAGAGGAAGGCTGCGGGGCAGAATGGAGGGGCGACAACTGGCCTCTCCCTAGCTTCCTTAGCTCTGCATGAAGGGGCTGAGCAGCTGGTAGCCGCGGCGAGTGGCGGAGCATCCTTTCAGGGTTTCACCCGGTTAAACTCAGTCGAGCCTTCGCTCAGTCTAAACACACTCAAAGGGGTGTTTCGCCGCCCTGCCCAGTCATTGGACGCTCTGGAACCCAGCGTGTTTATGTGGCGGCCCACTGGCGAAAGTTCCCCTCCGGGGCTTCCTGTTGGGCGGTGGCCCCAAACCAGGGGTAGGAGAAGTCCAGAGAAAGCTTGCGGCTGCGTGGCTCCGAGGGATGCTCCCGCGCGCGACGTCCCTGGGGTTGGCCGTGTCGCTGCTTGCCCGCGGTGTGCCAGCTCCCGGCCTACTTCTTCCGGGATGAGGCTGGATGGGAGAGGGGTTCAGAGGGAGGCTCAGTCTATGGTGGTGTTTATTGACGTTAGGTAGGTCTCACCACCTACCGACAGTTGTCTTCAGCGGCTTGGCTGGAGGAACCTCTAGTTAGTGGCGCAAGCACCATTTATTTGTAACCACTTTCTCAAAAGTGAAATCAAGGCGGTGGCCTTGATAATACATTTAGCAAATTGTAGAAATTGGTGGGCTGGAGTTATGTTGCAGAAAATTATCGTGAGGAATGGACTGAATTGGGAAAGAGATGCCCACCAGCGGGAACCTTCTACCTGGCCCCTGGGCAGGCTGCCTTTTCTTCACCAATATTTAATTCCCCACAAACAAGTGAAGAAAAAAGCGCTGGCCTTATTTCTAAAGAGACGTTTTTGTTTTATTTTTCCTTTTTAAACTTGTGCTACAACTTTGAGCAAGTTCTCAAATCGGGGTGTAGTGGACGGTGTTACTAATGCTCAGCCTTTGGAGGCTTCCCTGGTATGCTCCTCAGGGTGTGAGCGTCACTGGTCATCCGAGTTATTTTGTTGCGTAATTCCCAGATGTTTCGCTACTGCACTAAAAGGAGGGGAAAAAAATACTCAAATTCCAAAGTTGATGTCACCAGTACACTTTCCTTCACGGTGGAGCCTTTTAGTTTGACCAGAGCGGTGGACACATTCTGTTTACTCAAAGTGGTAGGAACAGTCTTTTCATCTCTTCCCTCCACCTCTGAAAGCAGCCCCTAAAACCGAGAAGCTCTTCAAAGACTTGAAGTGTGTTCTAATAATTGAGGTAAGGGGAACACAGGTGATAGTGCTTGTTGCCTGACTTCCCACAGAGGACACAATCAAAACATTTGAATTTTGTGTGTCCACTAAATGCATTATATGAATAAACTGAAGGACTGAGGAGTTAAGTAACATACCCATGGAAGTAGCCTAAGTCCTTTCAATGGCCTAACTTTCAAGGAGTTCTCTGCTTTTAGGGCAATGAACTTATTCTTTGCAGTCTTCTCTTCAGAGAAGTCAAAAGCTTTACTTAAAATACATTTTGAAACTCTTTATTCACATTATAATCCATTACAGGGTTTGTGTAAAAGATTTTCTGATTTCTCTAAATTGTGGATTTCTCTTAATCTGTTTATACTTCCTTTGGGGCAAAAATGTGTAAACAGATATTGGGGGATTTTTCATGTGTTGCTGTTATGCAAACCTCATTTTTTTTAGGTTTAGTCACTCTCTTCTGTGTTAATATTTCAATGTTTGTCTTTGTCAACATTACCCACCCTGTTTGGATCCTGAATTTGCAAAGCGTTTTAATCATGTAGTACATGTAACTGACATGAACATAAACTTTTTCATATATGTAGACCCCATACATAATTCTCCCTGGTTCTCCTGTATCTTGGCTCACACATACTCAGCCAAGCAGTAGGAAGTGTCCAGGGGAAGAGAAGTAAATACAGAAGCTACTTGGTTTATTATGGAGTTACATCTCCAATAAAACCTATCATATGTTGAAAATAGTATAACTTGAAAATGCATATTCCTAATCTACTCTGGGTTAGCAACACTGTACAATGCTCTGTAGAGCATTGAATGTTATGATGGTGTAGCTAACTGGGAGCTGTGGCTCATTGCCACTGCTCACCATCTCAAGAGTATAATCATATGGCTAGCCTGGGAAGAGATCAGAATTCAAAATCTGAAGCACAGTTCTACTGAATGCACATGCCTTTGGTACCACTGTAAAGTCAAACAACCGTTAAGTCAAACCATCCTAAGTCAGACAGTCTGTAGTTGACTTTATTGACGGTGAGGCACACACATGTTACAGACTATCCATGTTATACTGGGCTTCTTTACTGTATGTTATTGCTTTAGGGAGGAAACTTTAAGGCTATGAGATTTTAGATCTCTAATAATGAACATGATGTAATAGAACACTTATATAATACACAAATATTTGGAGATCAGGATGGGAAAGCTAACATATAGTTATTACTCTAAGCATGGAGTGCTTTACAAATACAGTATACAAACAGTAAACAGAATTTGAAACTATGTTAAGAACAAATATGGGTCTGTAATACTTTAAGCCTTGAAGAAAGTAAGACTAATATAGAAGTTGAAAAATAAAATCTCCCCCACCCCCATGCACACACACAATCAAGTATACTCCAAATATATTTTGGAAAATATATGTATTCTAAATTAAAGTATAGCAGATTATGGAAAATGTAAAACAACAAAAAAATTTTTTTGAAATGAAGTCTTGCTTGCCTTTAATTCCTGGGCTCAAGTGATCCGCTGCCTCAGCCTCCCATGTAGCTGGGATTACAGGCACATGCCACTGTGCCCTGCTAAACAAAATCTTAAATAAGAGAAATCTACCTAACAGTCTCTGACACTAATGAGGAAGAATTTAGAAGAGGCTTTGTGCTTCTCTAAAAGCAATGATTCCCATGAAATTAAGTATATTGCCAGGAAATCAGAGAAACAACCCTTGTAAAGAAGGCCGCAGAAAAGACTGCAATGAATAAATGCTCTCAAAGTAGCATTTGGTCTTTTAAAAGGTTCAACAAGGTGGAATGTGTTCTTTAGTAAAAGGTAGAAAATTCAGGTGTCTACCTTAGCCGAAGAAGTTTTAGCAATTCTATACTTGTACTTTCCCATGTGTGGAACTCCTTTTGTGGTGTAAAATAAAGGAAGGGAAATTGAATAGTTTAATGATCTCAAGTTGGTTTTGTGAGATATAATATAACTACATTTAAGTAACATTTAAAAGACTAACAGAAATCAAGAGCAGTTCTTAAAAGGAAATTAGGATATCCTATTAATCTATGTAAAAGTGACTAAATTTCAAGATCAATTAAATATATTTGAAAAGCCTCTTGCAAATAAGATATTTGAGGAAGTGCCCCAAACATCTATTCCAAACTAGCCAGGGGAAAAACAGGCTTCTATAACAAAACCTATCAGTCTTAGAGAAAGGAGGGTTTTTTCAAAACAAAGACATAATTGGAAGCAACTCAGAACACATTTTTTTGTTATAAATAAATGCACTAACTAGTAAAAATGTTTTAGATATGCTTATTTTGTTCACTGCTCAATCTCCAGCACCTAGAACTGACACATGATAGGCCAATAAATAGTTGTTGAATGAATAAATAATTATTTCTGCACCATAGTTAAATTGCTAATAACAAAATCCAGTTTTGCAGCTACTGAGTTGTAACGATAACAACAACATCTGAACTAAAAGTGCCTTTTCTGTCCCCTAGTGGTTATCCTGTTCAACAATTTAGAAACACTGCTTAGTCAACTTCAGGGAAGACTGGACATGCAGTTGTACTGGAAAGGCATCTTTATTCTAAGCTACAGAGCTCATTAGTTCATTACGGCCTAGTATCTTCTGTTCCTCCTCTTGCCTACCTAAGGACAGCACTTAATTCTCCCTCTTTTCTTCTGCATCATTAAGTTTCTCACCCCATCCCTTAGATTATTTCTAATATGTTATAGTTCATGTCATCTTAATCTCTCTCTCTCCCCACCCATCTATCTCTGTCTCTCTCCCCTGTATCCCTCCCAAGCGACCGCCTCAATTTTCTTCCGGCCTTACTGTAGAACATTTTGAAATATGAGTCTGTATCTATAGTCTCTAATTCTTTTCCTCTGTCCTCTCTTGAACCTTCTCTAATCAGGCTCTCTTGTTCTGCTCCACAAAATTGTTCTTGAAGTAATAATCAATTGCTTCCACATTGCTTATACCAGTGGTCAATTCTCAGAACCTCCTGTTGCCTGACTGGAAGCTTGTATTTGACATAACTGACCCCTCATTCCTCTCTTCCTTCACTTGGTGGATTGAGCAGCTTCTAGGATACCCATCTCCTTGGCTCTTCTCTCTTTCTTGGCCACACCTCCTCTATCTCTTTTGCAGGTTGCTCCCCATCTCCCTGGTTATTTCAGGTTAGAGCTCCCAGGGCTCATTCTTTTAAGTACTTCAGTTTTCCTGCATTCCTTCCTGTGGTGGTCTCACCCACCTTCCAGGCTTTAAGTGCCATCTATACACTGAGCTCTCCCATCTTTATATACTCACCCCATACTCTCCCCTGAATTCTAGAACCAGATATTCATCTGCCTATACAAACTCTCTATTTGGATGTCAAAGAGACATGTCC